AAGATAAAAACCAAGTTTTAACAGCTAATTATTACTCTACTTACATGACGTCCATCACCAAGCCAAGAGAAAAGGAGACGATAAAACCAGAGAAAAAAAAAAAGACATTAAACCAAAATAGAAAGAAAAGACGATTAAACCAGAAAAAAATATAAACGATAAGCCTGAAGTAAAAAGACATAAAAGCCAAGAAATAAAAAAGAACATAAAAACCAAAAAAAGAAACATAAGAACCCAAAAGAAAAAAAACATAAACAAAAAAACGATAAAACCAAGAGAAAGAACATTGGAACCAAAAGAAAAAGAACAATAAGAACCAAAAGAGAAGAAACGATAAAAGCCAAGAAGAAAAAAAAAACATAGAAGAACAAAAGAGACATAAGAAAGAAAAAAAAACATAAGAACCAAAAAAACATAAAAAAGAGAAAACTAAAGCCAAGAAGAAGATAAAACATAAATTCAAAAAAAGTGAACAAAAACCAAGGAAGAAAGAAAAAACGATAAGATCCAAAAAAACAAAACCAGAGAAAGAAACTTATAACCAAAATAACATAAAAACAAAAAAAAAATACATAGAATACCAAAATATACTTAAACCAAAGATTTTACATATTAACATAAGTATAATCATTTGTCCATTATTTACAGACAAACCCCATAAGAATAATTTATAACTTAAATAATTTTATTCTAAGAAATAATAAAATAAATCCAAGATGAAAAAATAATTTATAATTTTTTTTTTACTAATACCATAAAACAATAATCATGTATACTTTATAAAACATTAAGCTTGTTTAAATAACAAAAGAACCATTATTGGTTCATACCATTACATAATTCTTAATAATCTGATATATAGATTATAATAAGAATAATACTTTATGATGAAAAAGATATTAGATAAAATAATTATATCGATTAATTTAGAGAAATTATCTGCTTTTATATTCTTTACATTCCATCTACCATCCAACTATTTCTTCTCAAACCAGATTTCAATTCATCTGTGTTTTCACCTTCTAATCAACACTCAATACTTGAGTTCCCTTCATCTTTCTCACTTTCCCGCCCATACCCACACCCCCCGAACGCACTCCTAACACCCGAAAAGCCCCTAACCCTCACCTCAAAAAGCCAAAAAAAAACCATTATCACGTTTATTAAACTATTGATAACAAGTGCACACAATCAACATTAAACACGCTATCAAAACTCATCATCCCATTCCTCTCATAACACACCACTATACAAAACTCCTTAAATTCCACCCGATCTTTTAACCAAAACACCCAAATTATTAGCCGTTATTAAACGAAAAAAACGATATCTCATAACATTTCTTTCTCAAGCTATCATAGATGCAATTTTCATCACTTTTAAGTTTTGTATTTCATACACTTTTACAACTTTTGAATAAACTCAACATTCTACAATTGCTAACCATAAGTTGCCCTTGGTTTTCGATCAACCAACTACATCACTGAACTTCTATTAGGCTCCATCCCCTCATAATCACTCCTTCGTTTTTTCTCTTCCCTACCACACAATAAAACTTCTTCTTCTGAATTAAAACCCACCCAACATATGCTCCTCTACTCAGGTAAATATAATCCTATTTTGATTTCAATCTTTATTTTATAACATATTCTAAACATGATTTAAACACACATTAATATTTTTTCATTTTTCAATACAACGTCCACAATCTGTCTGATAACCACATAACTCTCCACAAGAATCTTGGCCACGTAAATAAAACATCCGAATGCACACCACAATACAAATCACTCTCAAAAAGAAACCTCAAAATGTCCACCTTTAATTCCACAAACTCATGAATTACACACCATAAATTCAATCAAATTCTGGATATATTATCAAAAGAGTAAAACTTTCAAATTAAACTTATGACTCCGTTCAAAGACTATCACACAATAGTTGAGATATCCATCTGATCTTAACCATTATCTACCTATTAAATCAATTTCTAACACAATAATACTACCCCAGTTCTTCCAAAACTCTCAATTTTGTTCCGACCAACACTTTCATAACCATATATCCGCACACCAGTCCAAATACATCCCTACTCTGTCTTATCATTTAAACCTACCATATCATTACCTACATTACTCTGCTACCATTAAACTCTCCATAATCATTCCTACTTACTCTTCTTAACATTGAAAACTCTGTCCTTATCATTCCTACATTATCATCTTACAATTGTAAACCTCATCATTTCCTCATAATCTTCTTACAATGTTAAACTCTGTCCTTAACATTTCCTACATACTCGGTCTTACCAAGTTAACGCTGTTCCTATCATTCCTACATTACTCTGTCTCCATTAAACTCTTCAATATCTTCCTACATGTACTCTCTTACCATTTAAACCTGCCATAACATTTCCTACATACGTCTTTCTTACCATTTATACCTTCCATGTCATATTCCACATTCTCTGTCTACCATTAAACTCTCCATAAGCATTCCACATTACTCTTCTTACCATGTAACCCACTCGTCCCAATCATTTCCTACATTACTACTCTTACCATTTAAACGCTTCCTATCATTTCCACATACTCTGTCTTACCATTTAACTCCTTCCATATCATTCCTACATTACGCTTCTTACCAGTTAATAACTCGTCCATATCATTTCCTACTGTTCCTTCTTACCATTTAAAATCTCCTAATCTTTTCCTACATTACATCTTCTTCCGATTTAAACTCTGCCATATCTTTTCCACATGTACTCGCTTACCATTTTAACTCTCCAAATCATTCACCATTACTCTTCTTACCATTGATACTCTGTCCATAACATTTTCCTACATGTTCCGTCTTCCTTAAAATGTAAACTCTTCCATATCATTTCCTACATTACTCTTCTACTCTTTTAACTCTGTCCTGATCATTCCTACATTACTCTTATATCCTTGCTCCATTTCCTCTTAATCCCCTCCACCATCAAGAGCGGACTTGTATCTGTCTTGACACAAGATTTGTCTGAATTTGCCTGATTTAGTTTGTCAGAATCATATAAAAAACTTTCTTTCATCCAAATATAAAACTGAACCACAAAGAATTTTTTAACTGTCAGACGCAAAATTTTCCCTTCTCCCCACCTCCTACGCAAAGAATCTAAACTAGCATACTAAACTAGCTAATCTAAATTCTAACACTCACTCGCTCTCATACTCAATAAACTCAATCCCATATCAATCCAAAAGATTAGCCCCCTCCCACCTTTTCACGGATCAATACAAACCCACCTCAATATAAATAATTATAACATTGTAAACCATACATACATCTGTGAATACCTCACCTGCAATTGATTTGATCTCCGATGCCGTCACAATTTAAATCAAAAGCTAAATTCTGTTATTTCTAATCATTCTTTAAAATAACAAAAAAATGTACAATAAATGCTGTGTTAGTAAAGGAGTACTGTATATGAAGATAATCATAAAATTACAAAGAATCAGCCAGTTTAACAAGGTTGGTTTTGAGATAATTAGAAGAATGTTCAAAGAGTCTAGGTTTTATACTAGCAGCTACCTCTCTTTATACAAATATAGATAAGACAAAAGCTTTAACAAGTAATATCTATCTGATGCCATGTCACCAGTACAACAACTTACTGTATATCAGAACATTATTGATACATCCACATCTCATTACACATTCAAAAGACTACATTGCCTCTATGAGACATGGCGCCTGACCCAGCCTGACATCCAGCCATCTGTATTTATTTATTTATTTCAAATCATTGCAGTCCCGCCCACTGCCTCGTGATTGGTTGAAATGTTTTGGTTGAAAACATGGACAAAGTTCAGGTTGTGGTTGCGTTTGAGCTTTAGTAATCCACTGCATTAGATCGGAGTCATTCAGAGTCATTCAAAGTCCAATTCAAGTTCAATTCAAGACCTAAAGGCAAGTTCAATAAACTTGCCTTAAGGTCTGGACTCAGGACTAGGGGTCACTATGGTTTGGGTTAGGACTAGAGATAGGTACAGGAAACTTTAGTAGATGGTTCAGAGGACTGTCTCTCTCTCTCTGGTCTCTCTCTGGTCTCTCTCTGGTCTCTCTCTGGTCTCTCTCTGGTCTCTCTCTCTGGTCTCTCTCTGGTCTCTCTCTGGTCTCTCTCTGGGCTCTCTCTGGTCTCACTTGCTCTTTGGTCTCTCCCTCTCTTTCTGGTCTTACTCTGGTCTTGTTCCCTCTCTGATCTATCTCTCCATCTCTCCCTCTCTGGTCTATCTCTCTCTGGTCTATCTCTCTCTGGTCTCTCCATCTCTCCCTCACTGGTCTCCTTCTCTCTGGTTTCTCTCCCTCTGTGGTCTCTCTCTCTCCTTCTCTCTCGCTCTCTCTCCCTCTCTCCTGCTCTCTCTTTCTCTCTCTCGCTCTCTCTCCTCTCTCGCTCTCTCTCCCTCTCTCTCCCTCTCTCTCGCTCTCTCTCGCTTTCTCTCCCTCTCTCTCCCTCTCTCTCGCTCTCTCTCCTTTCTCTCTCCTTTCTCTCTCTCTGTTAACTACTTCATAATGTCAAATCGTGAGTATTTCATGAAGAAAAATCCTTGAAAACGACTGCTACATCTCTCAATGCCAAGTCCATATCTCAAAGTCCTCCTCTCTCTATCATTCCCTCCCTGTCTGCTACCCACCCAACCACCCCCCACCTCTCCCCCTCCCCCCCCCCCCCCCCCCTCCCCCACCCTCCCTCCATGCTTCATTCACTTTTTATCTGCTCCACGCTGAATAAATAGAGACACCTTATCTTTACACAGGAGAGTGGTGATAAATGTTTTCTCCAGTTTGCCACAAAGGTGAAACAGACAAGCGCACACACTCTCTCAAAACTCCTCGGTTGTATTCCGTCTGTTCGGGCCAGTCAATAACACCAGAACCATTTTTTCATTCGAGTCATGATTCTCGCTCAAAAACAATCCCAAAAGCCAAATGCAAAGTCGCTGTGCTACTGGCGGAACATGAGTAAGAAACAAAGCTAGCATTTCAATGTGTTTTTTTTTTCCTCTGTGGGTAATAGGCCCCGGGCTCAGAGTGGAGCCTCTTGTTGTGGTGAATCACTATTTTTGGACAGAGGGAAATGTAGCATCGGACCAACTTCAAAGCATCAAGAGCAGGTTGAACTTTATCTCAATGTTTCACTGTGATATTTGAAGTGGGAGGGACTGACACTGGAGGAAAAATGCTGTTTTCATTGTAGTCGCTCCAGGTCCAGGGTAAAGCAGGATTACACACAAAAACAACATCATTTAGATAGATAGAAAGATAGATAGTCTCTCTCTCTCTGGTCTCTCTCTGGTCTGGTCTCTCGCTGGTCTCTATCGCTGGTCTCTATCGCTGGTCTCTCTCTCGCTGGTCTCCCTCTCGTCACTCTCTCGCTGGTCTCTCTCTCTGGTCTCTCTCTCGCTGGTCTCTCTCTCTCTCTGGTCTCTCTCTCGCTGGTCTCTCTCTCGCTGGTCTCTCTCTCTCTGGTCACTCTCTCGCTGGTCTCTCTCTCGCTGGTCTCTCTCTCGCTGGTCTCTCTCTCTCTCTCTCTGGTCTCTCTCTGGTCTGGTCTCTCGCTGGTCTCTATCGCTGGTCTCTATCGCTGGTCTCTCTCTCGCTGGTCTCCCTCGTCTCTCTCTCGCTGGTCTCTCTCTCGCTGGTCTCTCTCTCTCTGGTCTCTCTCTCTCTGGTCTCTCTCTCTCTGGTCACTCTCTCTCTGGTCACTCTCTCTCTGGTCTCCCTCTCGCTGGTCTCCCTCTCGCTGGTCTCCCTCTTGCTGGTCTCTCTCTCGTCACTCTCTCGCTGGTCTCTCTCTCGCTGGTCTCTCTCTCTCTCTGGTCTCTCTCTCGCTGGTCTCTCTCTCGCTGGTCTCTCTCTCTCTGGTCACTCTCTCGCTGGTCACTCTCTCCGTTGGTCTCTCTCTCGCTGGTCTCTCTCTCGCTGGTCTCTCTCTCTCTCTGGTCTCTCTCTCGCTGGTCTCTCTCTCGCTGGTCTCCCTCTCGCTGGTCTCCCTCTCGCTGGTCTCCCTCTCGCTGGTCTCTCTCTCGCTGGTCTCCCTCTTGCTGTTCTCTCTCTCGCTGGTCTCTCTCTCTCTGGTCTCTCTCTCGCTGGTCTCTCTCTCGCTGGTCTCCCTCGTCTCTCTCTCGCTGGTCTCTCTCTCGCTGGTCTCTCTCTCGCTGGGCTCTCTCTCTCTGGTCTCTCTCTCTGGTCACTCTCTCGCTGGTCTCCCTCTCGCTGGTCTCCCTCTTGCTGGTCTCTCTCTCGTCACTCTCTCGCTGGTCTCTCTCTCTGGTCTCTCTCTCGCTGGTCTCTCTCTCTCTCTGGTCTCTCTCTCTCTCTGGTCTCTCTCTCTCTGGTCACTCTCTCGCTGGTCACTCTCTCGTTGGTCTCTCTCTCGCTGGTCTCTCTCTCGCTGGTCTCTCTCTCGCTGGTCTCCCTCTCGCTGGTCTCCCTCTCGCTGGTCTCCCTCTCGCTGGTCTCCCTCTTGCTTATATATATGACTTCTGTCTGCTGCTTTGGCCTCAAGGCTATTACTACTGCTACTACTGCTACTACTACTACTGCTACTGCTTCTACTGCTACTACTACTACTGCTACTGCTTCTACTGCTACTACTGCTACTACTACTACTGCTACTGCTTCTACTGCTACTGCTGCTGCTACTACTCCTGCGACTACTGCTACTACTGCTACGGTGACTACTGCTACTGCTTTTACTGCTACTGCTACTGCTGCTGCTATTGCTGCTACTACTGCTACTACTACTCCCATGCGACTACTGGTATTACTGCTACATGCTACTACTACTACGGCTATGGCTACTACTACTAATACTACTGCTACTACTACTGCTACTACTACTGCTACTACTACTACTACTACTGCTACTGCTACTACTACTACCGCTACAACTTCTACTGCAACTACTGCTGCTACTGCTTCAGCTACTGCTACTACTACTGCTGCTACTGCTGCTGCTTATGGTAGTTAAATGCATTGGAAAAAGACAAATGACTTAAACCCAAACATCCCTGAAGTAAATCAATAACAGATATAGACTGAGCTGTTTGGTCACACGCTCAAACGTCCAACAGGGAAATGAACACATCAATAAACAATAACAACAACAGATCAATGTGACGAGCGGCTGAACCAGGAGACACCAGAGCCAGGAGACATCAGAACCAGGAGACACCAGAACCAGGAGACACCAGAGCCAGGAGACATCAGAACCAGGAGACACCAGAACCAGGAGACACCAGAGCCAGGAGACACCAGAGCCAGGAGACACCAGAGCCAGGAGACACCAGAACCAGGAGACACCAGAGCCAGGAGACACCAGAACCAGGAGACACCAGAACCAGGAGACACCAGAACCAGGAGACACCAGAGCCAGGAGACACCAGAACCAGGAGACACCAGAACCAGGAGACACCAGAGCCAGGAGACACCAGAACCAGGAGACACCAGAACCAGGAGACACCAGAACCAGGAGACACCAGAACCAGGAGACACCAGAACCAGTAGACACCAGAACCAGGAGACGCCAGAACCAGGAGACACCAGAACCAGGAGACGCCAGAACCAGGAGACACCAGAACCAGGAGACGCCAGAACCAGGAGACACCAGAACCAGGAGACACCAGAACCAGGAGACACCAGAACCAGGAGACATCAGAACCAGGAGACACCAGAACCAGGAGACACCAGAACCAGGAGACACCAGAACCAGGAGACGCCAGAACCAGGAGACGCCAGAACCAGGAGACACCAGAACCAGGAGACACCAGAACCAGTAGACACCAGAACCAGGAGACGCCAGAACCAGGAGACACCAGAACCAGGAGACGCCAGAACCAGGAGACACCAGAACCAGGAGACACCAGAACCAGTAGACACCAGAACCAGGAGACACCAGAACCAGGAGACACCAGAACCAGGAGACACCAGAACCAGGAGACATCAGAACCAGGAGACACCAGAACCAGGAGACACCAGAACCAGGAGACACCAGAACCAGGAGATACCAGAACCAGTAGACACCAGAACCAGGAGACACCAGAACCAGGAGACACCAGAACCAGGAGACACCAGAACCAGGAGAGACCAGAACCAGTAGAGACCAGAACCAGTAGAGACCAGAACCAGTAGACACCAGAACCAGTAGACACCAGAACCAGGAGACACCAGAACCAGGAGACACCAGAACCAGGAGACACCAGAACCAGGAGACACCAGAACCAGGAGACGCCATAGTTCTGCAGAAAGTGACAAGAGGGGAACCAGAAATGTGGAGGAATCTCGAGTTTAGCCAAATGTATTTTTTCTGAATAATTAATCTAACCGTGAAAGTCCCACTGATATGTGAGAGTCCTGGCCCCAGAGAGAGAGGGACTATTGTACAAGCTTTTAGTGGTGGGGAAACCCGGCGCACCTGGAGGAAACCTACACAGACACAGAGACAACATGCAGAATCCACTCACCGGGATTCTTGGGGCTTTCTTACTGAGAAACAAGAGGGCTAACCACTCAGCCACTGTGCCACCCGAGAGACAGTCAAAAGACATGCAATGCTCCGGACATTGGAATAAGAATTATCCCATTGGTCAATATAATTTAGAAGTGTTAAAAACTTACTATAAAAAAAATTAAAAGTGATTGATTCACTGCTTAATATTTGTCAGTTTTTCACATTAGAAGTTACCCTCAAAAAACGTATTATTAGTCATGAAATTAGACCGGAGCGAGACGAGAGAGAGACCAGAGAGAGAGAGACCAGAGAGAGAGACCAGAGAGAGAGAGAGACCAGAGAGAGAGACCAGAGAGAGAGAGAGACCGGAGAGAGAGAGAGACCAGAGAGAGAGACCAGAGAGAGAGACTGGGGAGAAACTATAGATAGTAACCAGAGAGAGACCGGAAAAAGAAAGTAAGTGTTTATTTATATAGCGCATTCTACAGAGCAAGGTCACCCAAAGTGCTTTACAATGTTCAGAAATCATATATTTTTCCATTCACACGCAGTGATGACAGAAGCGAGACGCCGGACACACTGGACCATCAAAGCCGGTGGTATAGGGAAACCGGAGCACCTGTAAACTCCACTGAGAAAGATCCTGATCCAACCGGGATTCAAACCCAACCGAGAGTTCTATCCACTCAGCCACCATGCCCAAGAGAGAGACCAGAGAGAGACCAGAAAGAGACCAAAAAGAGACCAGAAAAAGACCAGAGAGAGACCAGTCTCTTTGGGCTGTCTGTAGAACCTGCCAGAACCACACACACTGCTGTGCAAATGGACTATATTACATTAACAAATAATATCCTCATGGCTCCACATTCAGTCATGCAATAAACCAGGAGCATCAGCAGTTTGTACAGGCTGCTGTAGGAGGACCACTGAGACCTGCTGAGACCTGCTGAGACCTACTGAGACCTGCTGAGACCTACAGAGACCTGCTGAGACCTACAGAGACCTGCTGAGACCTACAGAGACCTGCTGAGACCTACAGAGACCTGCTGAGACCGACAGAGACCGACAGAGACCGACAGAGACCGACAGAGACCAACAGAGAACAACATAGACCAACAGAGACCAACAGAGACCTACACAGACCTACACAGACCGACAGAGACCAACAGAGACCAACAGAGACCAACAGAGACCTACACAGACCTACACAGACCAACAGAGACCAACAGACAAACATCCACAAAGTCCACTTCTATCGCCTTCACTGTCAGACCCAGACAGACTCAACTGTGTCTGGTTATGAATGAGCAAACCCAAACACAGCCGCTTCTGCTTCTATCAGACCATTATCTACAGAAACAGTCTCACAGTTACAGCTGAAGTTTATGAGCAGAAACGGCGCCTTGGAAATGTTTGAATGAGTTTAAACCGCGCTTTACAACGCCACATACTTGTACCCAGTGCGTAACGGGATTGTTACTGTACTACTGCCGCTTCAGAGCCGCTTCAGAGCCGCTGCAGGCGACACGGGCTGGTGCGTGTGCGTGTGACAGACAGCACATCTCTGAGCTGTAGTAAATCCACCTCCACGCGTTTCTCTCTTAGCCAGAGGGCGTGCAATAACAGCGTAATAAACTTCTACAATAAAACGCGCACATACGGACACAGACACAGCCGCATTTGGATTAGATTTCAATATTATTATAGATCCATGGTTGCAACACACTTTCTTTCTGCTGGAACTTACCTTGTAGGAAGAGGCGAGTGGCGAGGCTTGTGGAGTTGGTTGGAAAGGCAAGCCAACCAGTCCTCCAAAAGCAAGGTCCTTCTCCGGAGAAATGGTCCCGATGGGAATGGGTGAGAAGTGTGTAAGTCCGTGGGGTGTAATCGTGGAGTGAAGGCACTTCTGAAGAATCCAAAAGCGAAAGAAAAGAGTCAGACAGTCAACTCTTCCAACATTAGTCCGTGTGGCTGTGGTGGTCCAGCCTCGGATCTACTCCACGCCCAAGGAAGGTGCCTTGCGAGTCACATGGTCCAAGGGGGGGGGGGAAACAAAAAAAAATCCAGGTGCGTGTGCATGTGCGTGTCCGTGTGGAGAAGCCTGGGGAGCGAGCACACCTGTGGGATCTGCTTCTGGTTCGCAGCCTCCTCGACTCTTCGGCTGTCAACGCGATCTGCGAAGGAAGGAGGAGCGTGGAGCCACACAGAGGGAGAGGGAGAGAGGGAGAGAGGGAGAGAGGGAGAGAGGGAGAGAGGGAGAGAGGGAGAGAGGGAGAGGGGGTGAGGGTGTGTGCATGTGTGTGTGCATGTGTGTGTGCGCCTGGAGCAGGAGAAAATGAGCAGGAATACAAACCACGCCCTCTGGTTTTTCGCACACGCACTGGCAAGCAGTGTGTGTGTATAGTATGTGTGTAGTATGTGTATGTGTGTCTGTGTGTATAGTATATGTGTGTGTGTGTGTGCGTGTGTGTGTGTGTGTGCATAGATCCGAGCAGAAAGCAAGTTGTATCATGTGTTTTCAGTGGTGGCGCACGCACAGAGGCGGCCCTGCCCAATAAGCGGACTCAGCGGTGACTTAGAGCCCCCAAGGCGCCATATAAAGATGATTTACTTATTGACTGACTAATATATGTGCACAAGAATTCAAAGAAGCTATTATCCTACATTGCCAAATTTGGGCATTGAATCCTATTATCCAAAAATAGCACGGATATCTTTTTCAACACATTTTTATGTCTGGATTCCAAAGGTTGAGGTTTGATGAGTCCATAAATATTCACATTTGACAGAAGTTTACTAGTGTTTAGTATCTCAGAATTAGCGCTTTATGTGGAATCTTGGGATACAGTCAAATACTAATGTTAGACATGGCTGTGATCAGGTAATGAAAGTGGACCAGTGCATATTTATTCATACCCTGGATTGGATTGGATCATGCTTTATAACTACCATGTGTTTGGAGATGGTGTTTTCTAAATTTGAGGTGAAGAAACAGATTCCATGCCTCTCTCTGGTGGCCACACAGGGTAATACGCCTTTCGCAACAGAGGTCTCCAACCTTTTTCAATTGGAGAGCTATACTTTTTTACACCAGAAGAAGCAGAGCGCTATTTGTCATAATAAAATATGTGTGTGTCTGTGTCTATGCTACAAGTACAAGTCCTACAAAATGAATTAGAAAAGGTTAAAATCTCTTTATGATTTTAAAGGTCAAAATGTATGCATCACATGTCTTCTCCAAATTGAATTGGAAATGATGAAACATAGAATTGAGTATTATACAGGTCATGGAGAATCCCACACTCCAAGTCCAAGCTGAGTTCAGACCATAGACTGTAAGTATTCAAACTTTAGGCCCAATTTCGGCAAACTCTGGTCAGCAGTAGAGAAACCAAGCTCCAAATCTGTGGAATCAGCTTCCCACCCAAGGTCTACATTCGAGACCAGGTAGTAATTCAGCACATGGCTCTGGAGGTCAGTCTGAGAAATATAACCTTAAAGTATAGCAATTTGTAAGATTTTCATGTCAAGTCATCGTTAAATGGCGGCACGGTGGCTGAGTGGATAGCTCTCTCGCCTCTCAGCAAGAAGGTCCTGGGTTCGAATCCCGGCCGGACCAGGGCCTTTCTGAGTGGAGTTTGCATGTTCTCCCCGTGTCTGGCATGCGCCTCCTGTTCGGCGACCCCGCTCCCATCTCTGTGTGGAGTGGGAGGACAAGTGCCCAAAAAATAACAATTGTAAACCGCTTTGTGACTCTGGTCTGTGAAAGGCGGTATATAAATAAGGCTTACTTACTAAATGGCCCTAATCTGTCAAAAGGCAATAAACCACGTTCTTTTCGAATACTTCTTTAACTGATAACAGTATAGTTCAGTCGAGATATTTGGATTTCAAAAGTAGTTTTACAGCCCAAAATCTTGTTATTGTTTTCATTTCGATGCCCCGCCCTCCACTATTTCACCAATCAGAAAGTCCGGGATCCAGGCGCCAGAACTCACTGCGCCGAGCTAATCTAAAAATGGTCTTGTTATGATTCTCAAATTATTAATGACAAAACAAGGAATTCAATGAGGGACCTTTGTGAAAAAGGTGTTGTTATAGATTTGCTGTTGACAAATCTCTTGTCCATTCAGATATTGTGGTCCCAGGCAGGCTCACAGGGAAAGAAGCACAGATCCAAGAGTTTCAACAGAGGTGACGTCAGCTCAATGCAAGAAAAGTCTATAATTTCTAAGTTTTGAGTGTTGTAAGGTGTGTCCCAAATTAGTATCACACATAAGATGGATTGTGAAAAATGAAGAAAAGCGAAATACGACCTTTTCAGTGACACTGCCTATAGACCCCCCTACTGGAGAGGTCTGGTAACAGCACAATCCTGTATCTGCTGCTGCTGCTGCTGCTATCTGATTGTTTTATGATTTTACAGTTGGATAAGTTTGTCATCAATATTTAGTCGGGAGAGAGACCAGAGAGAGAGAGACCAGAGAGGAATTCCAATCCAAGCCTTTTCTTGGTCTTCAGTTTTAGCTTAAGGCCCAGAAAAGTATTTAATAGATAGATTTACTGTAATGTAAGTGGCTCCGAACCATTGGTGGTTATTTGCTCCAGAAATACAACCAAAGAGAGAGACCAGAGCGACTGAGAGACCA